GTTCAGCAGAAGGTTGTTTAGTTTCCACGACTTTGTGTAGACATGAGAGTTTCTGTTGGGGTTGACTTCTAATTTTATTGCACTGTGGTCTGAGAAGATGCATGGTATAGTTTCTGTTTTTTAGAATTTTTTGAGACATGCTTTGTGACCTAGGATATGGTCAATCTTAGAGAGTGTCCCATGAGCTGATGAGAAAAACGTATATTCAGTCGTTTTTGGGTAGAATGTTCTGTAAATGTCAGGCACGCCCATTTGTTCTAGAGTTCTGTCCGTTGTTTCTTTGTTAATTTTCTGTTTGGAGGATCTGTCCTGTGCTGTCAGAGGGGTGTTGAAGTCTCTGGCTATTATGGTGTTGCTGTTTATCAATTTGTTTAGATCAAGTAGAGTTTGCTTTATGAATCTGGGTGCACGTGAGTTGGGTGCATACATATTTAGAATTGTTATGTCTTCTTTTTGAACTGTACCCTTCACCATTATATAGTGACCCTCTTTGTCTTCCATTACTTTTGTTGATTTAAAGACTAAGTTATCTGAGATCAAAACTGCCATGCCAGCCTTCCTTTGCATTCCGTTTGCTTGAAATATTGATTTCCAACCCTTCACCTTGAGTCTGAATGCATCCTTGTGGGTTAGATGTGTTTCCTGAAGACAGCAGATACTTGGCTTGTGTATATTTATGCATTCGGCCAGCCTGCGTCTCTTTAGTGGGCAGTTCAAGCCATTCATATTTATTGAGAGAATTGATAACTGGGGCAAATTTCTCTTCATCCTGTTGAGTTGAACTTTGTTGCTTTGTTTTCTCTCTTGAGCCATTGTGGTACCTGGCCTTTGACCTTTACCTTTTGGACGATTTTACAGTGTGAGTGTTTATTGTGCTGATCCGTGTGTAACATTGGTCTGAGTACTTCCTGCAGGGCTGGTCTTGGTGAATTCCCTCAGTCTTTGTGTATCTGAGAATGTCTTTATTTCTCCTTTGCACACAAAACTTAGTTTTGCAGGGTACAAGATTCTCAGCTGGGCATTGTTCTGTTTCTGAAGAGCGAGGATGGGGCCCCAGTCATCTCTTCTTGCTTGTAAGGTTTCAGTGAGAAGTCTGGCGTTATTCGGATGGGCTTTCCTTTGTATGTTACCTGCTTCTTTCGCCTTACAGCTCATAGGAGGGCCTCTTTGGTGGTTACTTTGGCCAGTCTGATGACTGCATGTCGTGGTGTCTTCCTGTTTGGCGATGAATCTCCCAGGGGTCCTTTGAGCTTCTTGTACCTCGATATCTAGATTTTTAGCAAGGCCTGGGAAGTTCTCCTCTATTATATCCTCAAACAGCTTATGCAACCCTTGTGTATTTTCTTCCTCACCCTCAGGGATGTCCATAACTCTCACATTAAGTTTCTTCACATAATCCCACATTTTTTATAGGCCTTGCTCTTTTCTCTTATTTCTCTGCTCTATCTCTGTGACTGACTTATTTAATTGAAAGGTGTTATCTTTAATCCCTGAGATTCTTCTGTTTGACCTACCCTGTTCTTGAGGCTTTCCACTGTGTTTTGTAGTTCGATGAATAAATTCTTCATTTCTAGGAGTTCAGTTTGATTTTTCTTTAGTGAATTTTTCTTCCGAGTCCTGGATTTTTTTTTTTTTTTTGTGGTTTATCATTGCGTTTTCTTAGAATCCATGTTAGAAATTGTCATGTTGGTGTTCTGAATTTGGTTGATGTCCATTGCTAGAGAGCTGGTGTTCCTCTTTGGGCGTGTGCTTTCCATTTGATTCTTCATACTTCCAGAGTTTGTTCGCTGATTCCTTCCCATCTGGATGAGCTACTTATTTTGAATAACAAATCTTCTTTTAATGGAAGCCCAGCTCAAACATCGTATGTATCATGTAGTTAATATTCTCGTAGTGAAGGCATGAGCTTTTGAAGTTTTGTTGTTGCATATTAAAAAAGATAGTATTTTGATAATGGATCTGTAGAGCAGGACTAGAACCCTGTTATCCATCTCAGCCCTCTAAAGATGGAGGTCCACTTTTCATAAGAGACCCCTATTGACCTCTGTCTTCCAAAAATGTTTTCTTAAAGGTAGAGTCAGTTCTGGATTATTAATCTCACTACTTGGGAAACATGGCACAAAATTTTCAGGGGACCTTGGTACTCAATATTTCAGTCTAAACACAAGTAGTGTGATAATGCATGTATAAGACACGTCTTTCTGTCCCCTAATGGCTGAGCTGGTTCTTCACACAGGGGTGGAATTACCAGGAATGCTGATTCCAGGTGGATATGGACCTACGCAGCTCAGCAAGTGGCAGGAATCCAGACGACCAGGCTTTGCCCCCTGACATTTAATTCAAGGCAAAGAATCTATCTCGTAAGTACCTGCCAAATGGAGAGTTGTACAGCTCTGTGCCAGTCGGTCACAATCTTCACGTCAGACATTCTGTCCAGGAAGGATGCCCTGAGACATGACAGGTATTCCCTGACTCTTCATTCCTGATTCCAAAACGCAATTTTAAAGCTGTTATGTATTATAAAGAATGACAAGCAGCACTTAAGATATTTAGCAAACCCAGTTTATTTACATAATACATATTTCGCCATGCAGCTTACTGAATTGCACTCAGTGTAATAACAAAAAGACAAGCACTGTCTTGCTATTTGAAAATGGCTTCATATAGAAAGATAATTATTTCTTAAATGAGTTAACTACAACCCTATAAATCACTAGACAATTTGAAACAGCCATAGATAATTTTAAAATGTAAAGTTTGTAGGCAAAGAGCTTTTATAGTTTACATATTGATAAACCAGTTTTTTTCAGTACTGTCACTGGATAGTATACTTTTATTTTAATAAATCTATAAAAACAAAAATAACTTAAATATACATTACAAGGCTCAGATTTATAGGCAATTTTAAAATGTTTTAATGTTAACAATGTCTTAAAATTTTACCAGTAGTGTTGTGCACACAGTAGGTGGTCATTAAATGCTGACATACAGAAGTGTTTATAGTTGATAGCAATCCACATTCATTCATTCCATACTTTATAGTAAATGCATCATAGTAAAGATAAGAGAGGAGAGCTTTCTTATAATATTTAACATTTTCATAAAAAGTTGAAATGTTTACATGGAACAATTCTCCCTACAGTGAGATCTGAATGTTTTTTAAATTCAAAGAAACTGTTATAACCAGACTTTCCCCTCATCTTTAACTTAATTACAACTATTCAGTGTTTTTTGGTTTGGCCAAAATGACAAATTATCTATTATATCTAAAAGCTATAACATCACGTAAGCCAATAAGGGATGTTTCGGGAGAAATATATCCTACGATTCTTTCACCCCAATCTTTTATCACATAGCATTCCACCCTGACGACGGGTGTGACACCGTGTGCCCCCACCAAGCCTACTGGGGAAGGTTCTCCATGCACACTAGAGCATGGGGAATTTACATTTCCAAAACACTACACTGGAAGGAAAAACAACATCTGACAGTTGTATAAACTTGAGGCACATTTAACTTTCCTAAAATATGTACAAAAGGCATTTTGGGAATAAGCTTCCTCTTCAATCATTTTTCTGATACTCATTAATTCCACTGTTCTGAAAATACACCAGTACTTAAAAGAGCTCATGTCAACTCTTTAAGAAATTTGGGTAATATTTTATGTTCGATTAAACAACGTAAGTTTTTATAAATGTCTGCTTTAAGGGATTTAATTTACGCACATGAAAAGAACAAGAGAGTTATGTTGTATGTCAGGGAAGTGAGATCTATTCTTCATATACAATAAAGAGCAAGTTTAATGCTCCAGGTCCAAATATTAGGTGTCAGTACTTTGCTAACACATGCGTAGAGCACAGGCGAACAGCCACATCGTCACACGGGGCAGCTGCCTGACTTTGTTCTAAGGCTTAAGGTTCGTTTCAGGGTCTGGACGGCCGAGACGCCATGGCCTGGGAAGCAGCACCCGTAGAGCGGGGAACCCCCAAATTCAGGACCGCGGACTCAGAGGCAAAAGCTCTTAGGATCGAAGACCTTTCTGCAATCCATTCACAAGAATTCAGTGATTATATGAAATTAAATAGTATCTGAAGTTAAAATGTTTAGGTGGCTCTTGGTTATTAGACCACAGAATTTGTCCACTAATCATGTAGTTAGTCTCTAAAGTGACTCTTACCTGATAGAAAATGGCAATGCGAGTTCTTTTCCTCTTCTCAACACCTCTCTCAAAGAAGTTTAAATTTTTTGTTCTGGAAAACTAAAATATCCAATGTTCCTAGGAAAAAGAGAACCTACAGCTAAAGAAAATAATTATCTTAAGTGCCAGTTTCTTACAAACTACATATTTATTTAAAGGCTAGCGATTACTCAAAATCACCATCCTGGCTTGTAGCGAGCCTAGGCTGTAACGACTCCTGCCTGGATCAGGCACTCAAACTCGATAATCTGCTCAAAGTATCTCCTGATACTCACACAGGATGACTCCACTTTCCAACGGAGACGAGCCCTTCCTAAGGAAGCTGAGCTGGTGTTAAGTACGAGTCCTGTTTCTGCATGTTCACTGTTCAGATGTTTCCTGACCATCAGCTCATTTCACTTTCTGTACGAGCAGCAAATTAGCAGTCTCAAGGATCTGTAAAGCAGCTGATAGTCGAGATCCCCAAATACGGTTTTCCATTTTTATAAAGCATCACCCACGATACATTAAACGAGAAGAAAGGAAAAACGGATGGGACCCGTGGAATCAGTGGGGCACACGGCTCCCGTCACGGATCGCGTACGGTGGGATCCCCCTGCCACGCCTGGGCTCACAAGCGCGAGACGGGGTCGGGACAAGGCTCGCTGTGCCGGTACCGCATGACGTACACCGTGGACTGATGCCACCAGTACAGCATCACCACCGCCAGGACGTGCCAGATCTGGTGGCTTGAGCCGAGGTAGTTGAGTTGTCCTGGGAGGGAAAGTGGAAAGAAAGCGGCATTAATTGCAGCGTGTTCACACGAAAAGAAAAATGTTTCCATCTTTGGCCTTGGACGTGTGGCTCAGGAGCAGAAAAACTTCATTAATTCAGAGCCAAATGTTTTTTAAGATGGATCAATCCACATTTGGGTCTAATTTTAAGGTTTAAGTACACAGGTGAACTTTAGAAATTCTATTCCAGGTGTGTTTTCAAAATCTAAGTTAGTAAACTTCAGCAATTTGACCTTCTGTCTCCCACGTCTCAACTCGTATCTGGAGGAATGAAGAAAAAAATTACACAACTGTTAGAAATCCGGGAGAAGCTGCGGCTCTGCTGTGCTCAGCTACGAACCTGCCGGAAGCACTTTCCGTATCCCAAGCAGGCGTGCACAGACCGGAGTCTTTTGTCTGTCACTAATGGAATAATCTGCAAAATACAACTAGTAATGAATTAGTTGATTAGTTTCTCTTTGTGGTTAAATTCCGAGATGATTAAATAATTAACATGGGGAAAGCTTCCTGACGTTTCTCAGTGAATAACAAAATATAGAGCTATGACGATTTAAGCGTGAATAACTTATGGCACTTCCGTGGTTACGCAGCTGGTCTCTGACCTGCTCTCCCTTTCTCGCAGGAACGACCGTCGGCACAGGGCGCAGACTGTGACGCTGCAGTCGAGGCTTTCTGGGATCTGGGCCTTTGGCGCCACGGACCCTCCTGACCATGCAGTGCGGCCTCCAGGCTCATTTTTACAGAATTACAAAGAAAACTGACTATCTCGTAACACAAACAGAGACACACGCCATCTCACCTGTGGACGCCTGGGGGATGGACCCATCAAACATCATTTAAGTGTTTTAAAAAATCTGACCTGAGCTGAATGAAAGCTTTTGAAGTTTGTTTGTCCCCAGTCCTGCCTGTCTACACGGCCCACACTCCTCTGCAGTCAGGTCACACGTGGGGACCGGCCCCAGAGGTTTCTACAGCACTTAGGCGGGGACATCTGAGACTCTTGCTTTTCAGCACAGAGACACTTCGGTCCCTGCGGTCTCCGCCGCTCTCGGGGACTCAAGCCCACGTCCTGCTGTGACGCCCAGCACATCCAACTGTGTGCAGAGTCCTGCATCAGACAACTCACTCCTGAGCTGAGCATTTAAGGCCTAGACCCACGACGGCCGCGATCACAGAGTCTAGAGCTGCGGTCCCCAACCCGGCCCTCATAGCACCGCCCCCACCCCGTCCGCGAAGACGTCGTCTTCCCCCGAGACCGAGGAAGGCTTGTGCACAGCAGGGGGTGAGCGGAGGACCCGCGCGGGGCCCCATCTGTGCAAAACTGTCTTCTGTGAAACGAGTCCCTGGTGCGGGAAAGGCTGGGGATGGCTGGAGTAGAGAATTCTCATGGTTCAATTTTCTACTTATTTATCACAAAGAAAAAATAATTTTTGAGAGAAGTAGTAATAAAGTGACATAAATTTCACCAGGATTGTTTTCTGAGGAGAATTCTGCGCCTGCCTGAAGACGGGTGGGCTTCGGCTCAGGGACACGTCCCCAGATCCCGACGTCACACTCGGTTCTCCCGTCCCCTCCTCAGCTCGAGCCCCAGGCGCGCAGAGATCCGGGCTGCGCTCACTCCCGGCCGGAGTCTCGTCCTCCTCCCTCCCCGCAGGGGGACGGGCATGGCCCCCTCTCTGGGCCACTGTGGAAGTGATTCCTGACCCATGGACAGGGGCCAAGTTCACAACCTGGATCTAAGTGCTCCCCAACTTCTGGCCCTCCAAACTTGAAATCCCTGTTTTGTGTCCTCTAAACGTCATTCCTGACTCATCGGTACCTGCGAAGCCAAAGCGGACCTGGATCTGCGCGTCTGTCCCTCACCAGGCCACGTGGAACACGCACAGGACCGGGCGCCATCGGCGGGACACTCGCCAGGAGCCGCGCTCGGTGCTGCCTGTGTTTCCTCACCCGGTCCCCACGGCGACCCCGGCAGAGAAGGTTCTCCCTTCCCATTTCAGACGGGAACCGGAGCCGAGAGCCCAGGGGACTGATGTGGCTCGCGCAGCCGCACGTGGTCGAACCCCTGCGGTCTCGTCCCGGAGCTGAGGCCCCGAGTCGACCGTCTGTCGCAGCGCCCAGCATCAGCTACTTTTCCTTCAGAAATTTCTCCCTCTGAACAATCGATCTTCCTCCTGAGTGACGGGCTTGCGTGTATCTTGGAAACATGAAGACTCCTGATTCTGACCATTTTCGTCCCAGCCCTGGGTGCCAGGAAGCTGAAAGCCAGACGTGTGGCCTTGCTCCGTTCCACAGACCCTGACAGCGCGCACGGTGACGCAGCCCTGAGCCTGGCTTCTCTGCATCACCCACCGCTCGTCACCCTCTTTCCTTCCTTCCCTTCCTGCTTCATCTGTCTCTGCTATCAGTCTCTGCTTTTTAAGAACCAGGGGTTCATAAAGAAGTGAATGGTAGCGGGTGACCAGTGCTCCACTTGAAAACCAGGGGCTGGAGTCAGAAGCTGCGTCCCCGGCTTGCACGCCGAGCGGTGGTAGCCCCACCTGCTGCGCTCGACGCGCACCGTGAGGACGGAAGCTAAAGTTCTGGAGGACATTTGGGAATAGAAGACCCTCTCTGTAATCGATAATCATGAAAAACAAACCTCGGTTCCGATGCCCTGAGCACGCGTTCAGAGCGTGCTGTAAACCAGACGCCTACCTGGAAAGTAGCGCTCGGGGACCTTGGAGACGTAGAACAGGAACGCGAGGAGCGCGATCACATACATCACGGCCACGCGGGGCGCGAAGTCCTGAAAAGCAAAATGTGTTTTTTCAAAGATCTTCCCACTGCTACCGAACTCCCTGTTTACTCTCAGCCTGGCAGTGGAGTTCAGGACCGTTCAGTCTGACCCGCTCCGCGGACCGTCTCCAACAGCGACCCGCTCTCAGCACTGCAGGCCGCGTCTGCCAGACGGGAACACGGGGCGTCCTGGCGGCGAGGCCGCTGCAGGAGGGGGCGCTGGAGCCGCGCTGCGGGCCCCACCCACAGCTCAGGCGCACGGTGGGCGCAGGTGGGAATGGAGTTGGCAGCTGCACGGGCAGAGACTGCAGACCAGGAACCCACGGCTGGGAAGATCTGAGCCCTCGCGCCCAAGTCAGATCCAACAGCCTAGATGACGGTCCCCGTGGACACTGCGCCCCACCTCACTGCCGACGGCACGCCGGAAGGGCTTTCCTGGCCCTGAAATATCAGCCGGCAAATCGTTCTCATAGTGTTCCTAATTCCAGTTATTTAATATAAACCCAAAGTAAGAAATGAAGACATGTTGTTTCTCTTTCCTCTTCAAATACGTGAGGACGACCATGACCCCCTAAGCCTTGTGTCCTTCAGAGTCATCGACCTCAGACTTCTCACACATTTGAGAACACATCATCCCACCTCCCAGGATGAACCCTTCCAGAAGTTTCCATCTTTGGTTAAGCGCCTCTTTCCATCTTTTTGAAATTAGAGCTTATCGGAGAACTTCTCGGCAAGCTCCCCTCGCTTCCTAGAATGACCCGTGACCCCATCAGAACTCCGCCTTGGGAGCTGCCCGCTTTCTGTCTACGCCGTAACCTGCCTGAACGCGCCCAATCCTCCTCCGAGAACCACGAGTTTCCTACTGGAATCCCATCTTTCAGAAGTTCTCGTTTTCTAGGCCATGTTTCTGTTCTAAGATTTCTGCACATGGGATTATTTGCCATTTTTTTCCTGAATTTTTCTAAAACCCACTGACTTGACGGTCTTGTTCTTCCTCGCCGTCATTGTGAGCTTACGGGGCCACGCTCACCACACCCAGAAATTCTGATCACGTCCTTCAGCAACCAGTTATTCGTCCATGGTCAGAATCGAATCTAGCACGGGAGTTCCCCGTTCTGTTTTCTTTACTTATTTTCAGGGAAATCCAAATTGTCAGAAAGACCATGTCCCTTGTCACTGCCCACCGTTCCCCCGACTCCCTAACTGCGAAGCAAACATCACCCTGCCCTCGAGCCGGCCACGTGGACGGATCGCCACGCGTTTCAGCCACCGCGGAACCGCTTTTCTCCCGCTCCACACCGGGTGCTTCCCGCCAGCTGCCGCCAACCCCACGGAAGCGAGGTCGAGTCCACAAATGGCCTCTTCTGATTCTTCTGAATAAAGGTCTCGTAAGAGAATCACGAAATCTGATTCTTTTGAATAAAACCTGCCTTCAGAGTCCCACATCCCAGACCAAGGTCCCGCTGTACGAGTGTACACGATTTCTGCCAGGTTTCTGGCTCGTTACGGTGAGAATTCTCAGATTTACTCTGCAGCGCACGTGAGCATTTCTATAAGGAGCGCTAAGTCTTGTTTCCCATCCTCTTCTCAAAAATCCTTCGTTCCCACTGAGGTTCTTGCTCAGACACATCACCCATTCCCCACGACGACCAACTGATAAACGGCTCTTCTTTTCTGTCTCGATGTGTTTTCCTCAGTGGGTCGAACGTGCTTCCTGGGCTCCAACTACCAACGCAACGATGATTTCCAAATCCTTACCTCTAGTCTCAATCTCTGGCTTAAATTCCAGACCCTCTGCCTATCTTTGCATCCTGCAGACATCTCCAGCGCAAGAGGTCCCACAAAAACCCTTCCCACCCCTCGCCCCTAAAAGTATCCACCGCTCCTACTTCCGTACTTGGCACCGTCGCTGACCCAGCACACAGCGGGACTCTGGAGTGAGGACTTGGGAATTTACACACTAGGCTGACAGAGAGAGAACCGGGGATGCATCACTCCACAGACAGACATGTCAGAAACAAAAACCCAACAGTCACACCTGACCTCCCCTTCTGCGAAGCGTGCTCATTTAAACAGCCGTGGAAACTATGGCACCAACGTGAAATCACAAACATGCTCTAAAATGGCCAAGACCCACTCTCTTGGATGGATCACACTACTTTACCCAGAAAGAATAAAATCGAAAGAAAACAACGGAGAACGATAACGGTGTTCGGCCTACCTGGACGATAGGAGCACCGACCCCTCCGTTGAGCCAGACCCAGTGAAGGGTGGGAATGACCCCGTATCCCGAGACGGAGCAGAAGATGACGGAGCGGAGCCGCTGCCACTGCTGCGTGAGGTAACTGGGGTGGATCTGCGCGAAGAACACGGCCAGGATCATGGCCAGCACCGTGATCAGGTACACCTGGCGCCAGTACTGGAACGGAAGGAAACCGGACTCAGCTCTGACAGGAGCAGCGAAGGAAGCGCAAAGGCAGTTTTGGCTTCTACGTCACACGTCCCAAACCGTATTCACTTGGTCCCTTCCCTTCCAAACAGGACTGTCTCCCTTCCTTAGAAATGTGTATGTTCCAAACAGCTTTCAGGTTTTGTTGCTCCATGAATATAAATATACTGGAGACAGAAACGTCTCAGGAGTTTTGCGAGCTCTGCCCCGAAGGAAGACGTGAGCGGGTCAGTTTGACATCGAAGCTGCCCCACCTCAGGAGGCCTCTCAAAGGTCAGCGGCGGCTGCTTCCCAGGCTGGCGCCGCGACTCTCAGACCTGAGGTTTGGACTTGCTTCGAAGGACAAAGCAGGTCGGCCATGAGCCACAGGCTGAGAGCTAATCAAAGAGTGCCCGCCCGACAGACAGACACCTGCGGCTAAAAGCAGTTGGCCCAAGGGACAGCTCCTGCTTAAACTCCTGACCACCTGTCTCGGTACACCATAACTAGATAAAGAAATATGGAGCCACTAGATCTCTGTTTAACCCTCTGTTAAGTGACACATTCACCTTAGAACTTAGAAGTTTGTGTCTGAAAGATTTCATAACCGTTTGTTCACACAGGTAGAGTTAGTTAAGGGATCTGAAGAAGCCTTTTCAAAAACTTTTAACCTAAGAGGAACTACCTGTTGTTATGTAAATGTTACCCCTGGCACCCGATCACTGTGCCTACAAATACCCAGTACAACTTCACTGTGGCCTTTGTGACTCACGGGGACATCACAGGTCCCGAGTGCCCGCTTTGTCTGTAATCTTTATAAATCTATAAAACTGTACCTTCGTCTCTGTGTGTTCTTTCATTTCTATTGTTTTCCATTTTCTATTATTTTCTTATCCTTTGCCACGACCCCCACCTAAGGGACCCGGTTTCTGCTGGGAGCGCAGCAAGGCTTCTCAGAAAGACAAACCGGGCTGCAGAGTGAGCTGATGAAAGACCACGTTCAGTCACGCGGAAGCATCTTCTGAGGGCCGAGCACACGCCAAGCAGCGTTTAAGTCCTGCACAAACAGGACTAC